AGATCCAGAAGCAGCGGAAATGTCACTTTATTTAAGAGAATTTCTTCAAAATAAGAAAGTTGGCGCAAGATTGATAAGTAGATTGCTTAGACCTCTGAGTTTTGAAAAATTGTTAAAGATAATAATATAGAGGATGAAAATTAAATACCAACAGCTGTTGCTGAAAATGATGATGGAGGGGAACGCTCGCTACGAACGATTGAGAAGAAAAAGCCAAGCAGAAACACAACGAAGGCGCCAAGGTAACCGTTTTTGCGCTCTTCTAACTTGGGCTCATCGATAAAATTTCAGCATGTTTGATACCACCTATAGGCTTTCTTTGTTCCTCTGAAACTGTTGCCATTTTGTTTTCGTTCAGACAGTGAATGGCAGGCTCACGTGACGAGCTGATATTTGTGTATCCAGCAGCGTTCAAACGCGAGACATTTCACAATCCCTACTGGGTGTTTCAAACAGTCCATTCATTGTATTACAACATACAATCGGCAGGAGTGTGCCTTTGTTAGCTTCCAAACCAGCAACAATCAATACTACATTCTCATTCCAAAAGACGAAGTTGATCACTTCATTAGTTGCTTGGAATCCTCTGTTCCATCAACCAAATTGGACATACGCATCTCCGTCACCTACGCATTGATCAATGTTTTGAGCATCGCGTTCTTCATGCACATTGGGAACTACGATACAATCGAGCAAATGAATAATGCAATTCACCTGACGTGTGTGATTGGCGAGACAGCAAACTTCTTGCTCGATGAGCCAGAACTTCCTGAATAAATCGGATGGCAACCCATGATTACTGGACCACGTGTGATATGACATAGTTCCCGAAGCATGGATTTTCAAGATATCGCTTAGATCCACCACTTTATGCATGTCAATGGGCAAGCTTTTGGGATTTACCTGGTGCTTGTTATTCATCGATTATTCTCTTATGCTCTTTACTCTCGGACAACGGACAAATGATGAATATGTAACCGAATATTGCGGTTGAGTTCACAAAATAATAAGACTGCGCTCTGCGCTCTTGTGCTCTGAATAACACAAGAGACGTTTCATATAGCTCGGACTCTCGTCATAGTACAATAGTGTACTAGTATCCCGCACAATCTCAGAGTAAACTTTTTACACATCTCTATGTGTATAAAAGTACGTTTTCGGAGTGCCGTTTTTGGCTGTGACAAAAATTCAGTTCTACATAAATTGTAACTTACGGTGAGCAAAGATTTATTGTTCAAAACGTATGAATGTACTGTGTAACCACCTGCTAAGGAAGTACTGCATTTAACGTTCTTTAAATGTGAAAAAGGTTCACCACTACTGTGACGAAAATCCACACTCTGCTGACGAAAGTTTCCGAGGAGTACCTCCACCAAAGGAACCTTCGTCATTTATACCCAAAGTACGTTCGTCATAATGACAAAAGTGTGGTGTGACGAAACTGCCATAATCCACTTTGAAGAGTTTTTCACATGACGGCCGTCATGTCTTGACAACGCATAATGTAATGTGTTACCTTGCATTATGTTCATCCCTGTTCTTCAACAAACTTTTCTCTGTTTTCATATTGCCTAGAATCAACATTTGTCAATTTTAAAACATGCGTTTATCAGACATAATAAAAGCAGGCAAATCCGATGTTAAAAAACTAGGTGATCGTCCGAGTGCTGGCGATGCTGGTGTGCCTCCAGCTAACTCTGATGATGAGTATGATAAATATGATATTTTTGGTTATGTAAATAATACACAACCATCCAAAAAGAAAAAAAATCGTGTGTGGTACAGCAACATCCTTTTCATCATGAAATTCAAAAATTTCAAGCGAGTGGCGACCTGCTGAAATTTGTTGAACCACAAGTATTTATATTCACTGAATAATTAATTAACACATATTTTGCTTGTTATTTTTGTGTATTTAGCCACCAAAAACGTTAGATGAAACAACATATTTTTATGTTGATACAGTTGACAAGCTGAACAATATGATGGATCATCATGTTAAAGAACAACAAGAGTTAGCTGTCGGTTGTGAAGTATATAAAGCTCTCGTGGTCTGCACATTTACTACTTGTTGTTTTTATATCTTTAGAGACACAGTTATCGTTCATATCAAGTCTTCACTTGTCTCTTACAAATATCAACGCGGTCGAACGATTATCTTGTGGATGCATTGGTGTTAAGAGAAGAATTACACGTATTAAATACTATATTTGCCAATCCAAAAACATTAAAAGTGAGCAGAAATACTAAATAGAAAAATACTAGAATAGAAAATTTCATGCCAGTAGCTAAGGAGTCTTTTAATGTTGTTTATAAAATCGTGAGTTGTACTACGCATAAGTATCTATAATTGTGTTATTTTTAGGTATTCCATGCTGGTACATCAGATATTGAATGGCTACAAGAATATACATTTTGATTCCACTTTTGTACATGGCAACGTGTTCAAAATATCATTTTTTGTTGTGCTTTCAGTTGGAAAGTAGTGAAGATTGAAATTTCATCTACATTCATTCATTTTTAGTGTATGTTAATTCGATACATTTTTTGTAGAAAATAAAACGACGAACCTTCTAAAAGAAGAAATAACTGTTCCTTTAAAGAAGAAAAAGTTATAATCAAAAGACTGAGAGACTCATTTATTCTGCAGCACCCGCTAGTATGGTTCACTTCAATAGCTCAAAGGAAGAGGAGTATTCTTAATTACTATATTCCCTTGACTGTAAAGGAAAGGGTCTTATCGAGTTAAAATGCCTGCATGTATGTTTGTATGTGCGCAGACTAGATACTAGCGACAGACAAACTAGTAGACCAAAAGTTGATTGGATGAAAATGATATGGCGTTGGTAGTCAAACATAGGGAATCCGAAAATGAGTATGAGTGACCTCTACAATCAGTTCTATTGGTCGAAATATTTTTCTCAGCTTCGTTGAATGAAAGTGATATCGAATCGGTAGTCGACTATGGGGAATCACAAAATGAGTATGAGCTGCTTCAAGTGTCGGGACCGAGCGAATGCAGATGAGTCGACTACGGGAAATCAGAATATGACTGTGAGCGACCTCTACGGTCGATTTTGTTGGTCGAAATCTTAGAAATTTCGAAATAAGTGAGAGTGTATAAATTTTATACTGTAAAGTAGCAGAAATAAAATTACTGTACGTTCTCATTTTGAGTGCATTGTCTAAGTAAACCTGAAATGAATGGTCTAGCTGGATTGTATCATGTTCCCGAGGAGAAATCCGGGCAAAACATGGGGAAATCAGCGCTCAGCTGTGTGAAGAAAAACTTTAGAGCTTTCGTGACCGTGAAACCTGTGTTTTCCAGTGTCCTTTCCATCAAGGAATCTAGCACAAGAAATGGGTTGTGTTTTATGTCAGAACTTGATCACACCATGTTCTCGAAGAAAAGTCCGAGCAGAACATGGTATAACCAAGTCTCAAAAACGGGTATCAGAACATACAAGACATGGAGAAAAATTATACATCCTTCTTGTAGCAAGTGATTGGGCCTTCTGAAGAACCGACTTGACTTATTTACAGTCTTGTGCATAATTGATATTCACAGTAAAATATTTGGTATTGAGAGAACTGAAAATGAGTTCTTCAATATTTTAGTTCTTTATATGGGATCTTTGATCTTAGAACTCGAAAATAGCCCAGTCGTCTACTCTTTGCTTTTCCGAAGGGCATGTTCCCAGTTCTTCTTATTTGATATCTATACCTCGTATTATATCTTTATTTTTGTTAGTTTGCTTGTGTTTGGATGGAGTCATTGGTATTCCAGATCGCGCAGCTTTGATGACTCTCGCATTTCGTGAATAAAATAAATAAAAATAATAACTCTGTGAAGGACTGAATTATGTATCACTCATTTCTTCCTTTTCGCCATCGATTCTCACTTATTACTTTTTTTCAGTCCAATGAATCTCTATCTGTCAATGTCTCGTGTCGTGTCTACTACTGTGTTCTATCTATTATGTCATTGCGAATATGGCCAAGAGAAAAAAGGTTAACGCAAGTACCACTGTACATCACGACGAAAACGTTTTATTTTTGAATGCACGTAGTATCTTATCTGATGTGAATGAAGTAATGAGTAAAATCGAACTGCTTCGAATACAGGCAGCTAAATTACAACCAATTATGATCGCTATAGTCGCAACTTGGCTAACTCCTTCTCATGACATAGCACAGTTATACATAAAAGACTATGATTTGTTTTTAGTTTTAGAAAGCATGTTTCAAAATTAGGATTATCAAATAAGGATAATCTT